AAAAACTGAAGTAAGATTATTTCCACACCCCCCCCACCTCCTTTTGCTTCATTCATATTTTTTTTTGTAGCTGGATAATTTAAAAAAAAATCCTGTACTTCCTAGGAACACTCATTCTGCAGGATGAAGGAAGACTCGTAACCTGTTAGCATTTCAAAACCAGCTGATACAGTTCAGCAGCACGGCAGCATCAGTGTTTGTGGCTCTACAGCAATGATTCTTCTCAAGTACAGCAAGAATTTGGTATGAACCAAATACCACAACATTAAAAACAAAAAAAGGCATCCACAACACAAGCTGGCTGAGGGCAAGCGAGAATCATTAAAACATCTAAACAGGCAAGGGACACACCGAGCGAGTCAAGCAAGTCATCATTGCCCATCTCAGGCTGCAGCAGCATCACTTAAACAGGTCTCTCATACTCTCAGGCTCCAAGGCTAACAGCAGTCCTCCAGTGTTTTAGCATTTCAACACTCATCTCCCCTTCTGGAGATGAACAGAAGTGACACAAAAGACCCTGCAGAACAAAATGACAACTCACAACTTCCGTGCATGGAAAGGGCTGAATCTTCGAACAAACAAAAAAATGAAGGGAGACCAGGTACAGAAGGGTAAACAGCATATGCTTACAACATTTCCAAGAGTGAGACAATCACAGTGGCTACATAAGGATATTTGCTGTATTAATTTGCAATACCTGAAAAAAGCCCTGCTGAGTTTGCGCTGTATTTACATATTGATTGGCTTCTTCCTTGCAAGCAAGTAGCGGCATCCCTTCCCACCTCAGTCCTTCCCTCTCCCTAGTCCTTCCCCTGGGTTTAAGCTACTCATAGGCAGAACAAGAACATTCAGTCTAAGAAAATTTTCTTAGAGTAATATAATTTTTTAAAGAAGGTAGCATATTTACACACATCTAACACATGAAAATACTCTATTTTATACTAAATTTCTGTTTCAAATAAACTACAATACTGCATCTTAGCTTTCTGCAGCTTTAGAGGACAGTCCCAGATGGGCACAAGCTGGGCTTCCCACTCCTGCTTCAACTGGCAGCTTTGCCTTACAGTGGTGCACTACCATCACGTTCAGGTCCTGACAGGTCTCCAGTTGTGGTTTGCTTTCTTGGGAAAGGAATAATGAAGTTCTCAGCAAAGCCATGCTAAACATCCACTCCTTTAATGAGCGATCCTTCTAGGATGATGTTGAAATCCTGTAATGTCTGTAGGACTCGGATAAGGGAGTTGACAGTCATGCGGTCCCGTAGGAGAGCATTCTCCTCATACATCCTTGTAATGGGTGGGCACTCTGCCAGCAAGGGGATCCACTGAGAGAGCAAGTGGTCCCTGCAAAGGAAATGAAAGGCATTATTTTAGCACAAAATACAATGGATTTCAAACTGCAATTATTCTCCAAGAACACAACCCAAAACATGCAGTCTCTTTTTACGCATGATGCATGTCATTTTTATGTATAAGTTTCCCGTGTAATCATAACCCTTCATTTTGTTAGTAAAATACAAGTAACTGACTGTACTGTAGGAATGAAGATAGAAAGACATCAGCAAAATTGGACAACTGACTTTGGAAGAATTCAGCAACATTTTCAGATCAGGAATAGGGAAAGTAAAATTCAGGAAAACCCAATAGACTGTTTCCCAACTTGTTTTCCATGTATCTGTAAGTACTCTACAAAAATGTTACTTATTTCTAGACATACCAACTTCCACCCTCCAAAATACAGCTAAGGCCCTGCCTCTTCACAAGTGCAAGACAGAAAGCATCCTGTTAGAAAAAAAAAAAATCTAGAATAGTTTTGTCAAACTTGTAACAGACATCCCATTTTCATAGGCAAAGTGATTCAATGACGATTTAGAAATGCACCAGCTCTTACAAAGGAACTCTGCATTCCCAAAGCCAGCAGTTCATAAAAAATTCAATTTCAAGGTATATTTTATACATATGACTGTCAAGCTAACAGCTATTAAAAAGCTCACAACATTTTTAGCAGTTGAGACACTAGACATGTGTCATTACTGCTTCTTTGCTCCAATTTTTCATCTAGTATTAAAGCTGCCTGAAATAGGTACTGGATAATAGGTACAAAATGTCTTAAAATGGGAAAACCAAAGGTAATAATAACCGTGTAAAAATATTCCTCTAGTCTAATGCAAGAGGACATGTATAACGAAGAGCAGTTAGGTACCTCGTCCCCAGGCAAACCAGAATTTGGAATTTGCCGTCCTTTCCAATGTTCCTTGGAGCTGTATTGATGGCATTCACATAATGACAGAAGGTTTTGCATGAAGATCTCTGAAGCAAAAGGGCTTCCTCATTGTCTCCAATCTGGTCACTGGTTTCAAAATAAGCGACAGCTTTCTCTGTGGTTGGGAGAAAATCCGAACGCAGTGAGCAGAAGCACTTCATTGTGACTCAGAGTTACACAAGGTAGTCCTTAAAAACAACCTGCTGAGAGCTACTGCACAGTTTATATATAGATTCCTCACTGTGAAGACCATGGGTAGGTGGTGATCTCCACCTCTGCTACACAGCTGTGGTCAACAGACTGGCTGATGTATAATACAGTTAGGTAACACCAAGGAGCCACACCAGACTATCTATCAGTGGTTTAATTGTAAGTGATACCATCAGCTTTGATTTTTCACCTTCTCTGAGTAAGCACTTACCCTCAGGCTAAGAATCTCAACTTGCGAGCACGTTTTAAGGGAATAAGTACACCTTAAATTACCGCAACATAGGCCTACAGATAAGCACCACCAGAAGACCAGTGCAGTGGTTAGGAGAGTTCTCATAAACAACTAGAAATCTAAACCTTTCACTCCCTGCCCTTTCTCAACTCTCCCCCTAACATCGATCGCTACTCTACCCCAGCCTTCATCCTACCTTATTTCTGGGTAGAAAAGCAGCTGTCTGAATATTCACCTATGAATAAATTACGAGAATCTGAAGTGCCTTTAAATTTCTGCACAGATTCACTCTCCCCCCTTATGTAGTGTTTAGTGTTTCTCATCTTATTTCTCTTTGACTTTAAGCAACCTGGAGCAGGTGCTAAACAGGAAAAAACACCACACTTGCTGATGAGAATCTGAGGTCTGTGTGTGAGTAGTCATTTTGCCCTAATCTTTCTTCTCCTTCTGCCTCCAAATCACACACTGGCTTACCTATGAAATCCCAGATGAAGACATTCTTATGAAAAATGCGAGCCGATTTGAATCCATGGTGGAACACCTGCTCCAGTGCTGCAACCAGACCATTTTCTCCACACAACAGAATGGTAAGGCTCCCTCTCTGTGGGAAAGGGAGAGTCTGTAAGTACAACTTGTCTTGTTTGTAGGCCAGAAGCTTCAACTCTAAAGTTGAAGGTTAGCAGTCTCTACTGGTACTTCGGTTCCATGTCTGTTTATAAAAATACTTACATGCATTGTAGGTACCAGGAAAGTAATAAAAATTAGGAAGTACCTCTTTCTCTGGCTTGTGAAAATGTTTCACAATATTGTTCACGGCTTCCCCAATTCCCTCTTGGATCTGTCCTGCATTAGGCTCTGTGAAATGATGGAGAGCATACTAGCTGAAGATACCAACTTTAAAACATTCATCAAAGTCTCATGATGAAATATCTTGAACTGCAGGAATTATTTTGTATCTTTAACAGAGTTCAGGCTGTCATTTGTCCTGGGTAAACCTGAGCCTTAATTACAAGCAACTGATGACCAACCCTGGAACAGTCACATAAATTGCCCTACTTAAGACCAAAGGATCTGGCTTGATAAATATTTTATTTGAGTTAATCACATCTTGCTCATCACATAGAGTACAGCAACCCCCACATGAAGAGACATGGGCTGAAAATTGTAGCCCAGTAATTTGACTCACTTCTATGTGACACAGGCCAGAAAACCCAGCAGTCATTAATTCCTGACTTGAACCCACAACGTTTTATTGAGCCAAAACAAGTATCTATTTTTGGCATATGTCTAGTCATTGTTACCAGTATGAGGAGCCACAGGCAGAAAATATTGCTTATTAATGGTTCCAAGAGTAAGTTATCTTCAATGTTAAAATATATGCCATGTTTCTGCTCTGAATCTAGTTGTATGCTTCTGTTGCTGAACCATGCTACGCCTCCACCTGCTACCACCTCATCTTCCTGTGCAGGTACCTGCAGAAAATTATCTAGTCCCTCATTCATTTTCTGATAAAAACCTGAACTTTTAAAACCTCATTTGAAGCAGATGTTTTCCAGATTTCATGGTTCTTCTATGAGTCTTTTCTAGTTTTCCAGACTCATGTAAGTTGCTATTAGTTTGTCCTACATTTGCTATTTTGGAAGCATGGAGTAGTTCAGTATCATTTTAGTACATGATGACCTCCCACAGTCTTTGGCAGGTCTAACACAGAGCCTCATGTAGCTCACAAGACAAATGAATTATTGGGCCTCAGACATAATGAAATGCCCTGCAAGTAACTCTGGTGCCCACTGCTCCAGTTAATATGGACTCACACATGTGAAGAGCTGCAATGGTCCTGTGAAGGTTTTTAAATGCTGCATTACTCTTGGAGGGTAATCTTTCCTTGCTTGACATTTCAGCAGTTATGTCCTCTAATTTTACAGGAGCTCTAATTTTACAGGATCTACACTGTGCTCCTCTGTATGCTTTAGCAGAGGATGCCTCATGTAGCCCTTACAGTCCCATGTCCCATTGTAGCCAGGTGCAGTTAATGAGTAAAAGCCAATTTTAGGGACATGAAGTTGATGTCCCCTAGGGTCGCTCAGGAGATGTGCTCCTCCAGAAGGCAGTTCACAGCATCCACATCAGGCTCTGAACTGCCTTTCAGAGAGGACTGTCTTCCCACTGACTCCAAAGTGAGCCAGTAAGCTGAGCAGCATCAGCTACTGCAAACTCTGCTGCCGCCTCCTCCCTCATGTCATATCTCCATGCTCTAAGGAAAGAGATTATTATCTCTCAACTGTCAAATGGGGACACTGAAAGATGCAACATGTACAGTTACAGAGCAAGCTGCGGACACACAAACTGGGGCAGGAAAAACTCATCAGCTTGCAGCTGTTCCTCTGCACCAAGCCTTGCTTCAGTAGGAGCTCCTCTGTTCACAGGAGCTTTATTTCTCAGCAGTTACTACTCCCTTCTTGAGGGCCCTGGGGAGAAAGGAAAGGACTTACTGGTGTTCTTCCCTGTGAGGGAAGTGATGCTCAGTCGTCGAGCCGTAGTAGGGGATTTCTGTTGGGGTGGGGTCCGGCACTGCTTTCCCAGCTCTTCATCAGACGTGGAAGACACCAGCTCTCCAATGAGTATTCGCTCCAAACTGCCATCGTCAACGCCTTTTCCCAGCCATCGTCCACAGGGAAACCTGCCGCACACCCAGGACAAGCACAGGTCAGCCACACAGGTAGTCTAGCTTGACCTCAAAGCTAGAGGGACAGCTAGCACCCATAAACACCGCTAACGGGAAGGGAATACTTTGTAGTCAGAAACTTTTCACAAACCAGAATTCAGCATGCAGCACCCCCTCCGCCACAACTGATCATCCTTAGGAAAAGGGAAATAGGCAAAGCTTGCATGAAAGCACAGGACAACAAAAAGTGTTATACATGTATTTCATGGGCCACATCTTGATTTCTGCCAGGTTATTCTTCACTTGCAACCACAAATGATATTCAGCCTTTACAAATATTGCAATAATTAACAATTAAATCCCCACATCTCTCCCACCCAGCTGAAGCTGTGACATCTCCTCATACTCAAACCTCACTTCACATTTTATTGTTCTGCTGTTTGACCCCATCCACAGTCCTTATGAAATCCATGCTCATGTCCATACTCCTAGTCCTTGTACCACATTTCCTCCTACTTTCTCCCATACACTGCGGCCAGTCCTGAGCTCTGGAGCTCACGTCTCTGAATTATAGTTTTCCAAGTCCACATTTAGAAAAAAAATTAAGTCTGCTTAGCCAGATGTTTGTAAAACCAATGATGAATTAGCAGATCATTTCAACACAAGAGGTGTGTGCTCAATAGAAGACTAAACCTTTTATTTTCTTGTAATCCAAGTTTCTGTACATTTGTTGGAGTACTTAGACATCTGATTTTTTAAAAAAATAAAAATAAATCAAGGATTTGCCCTAAACTATCATTCCAGCTCTTGTGGTTTAAAGAACTCATTTGTGCACAATTTTACCACGCTACTTTAAATCAAGAGATTTAATTATTAGACACAAACATAAGAATCACTTCAAAAGTATCCATACTGTCTGTCCTGTCTCAGAGAGAGGCAAAGAAAATCCTACATTCAAGTCTCATTTAATATTTATGAGATTATTTGATTTCAGCTAGGGCTTTTGAAATGAGAGAACTGGGGGTCGGGGAGACCAACCCAACCCTATTGGGTACCCAATCAGCCCACACTGCTCCATCAACTGAGGAAAAGATGAATGTCTTCTTGCTTGCTCTAGATTTAACAAGTAGGAATTTCAGACAAAGAAAATGAAAACTTGTTGCTTACTTGTACGTGTGTCCTGTTATTTCATTTCTGACCATGACACAATCAACCAGCCACTTGGCTAGTAGCCCTGAGTTGTCATGACCAATCTGAACGGTCGTCAGCTTCCCTAAATTCTGGCACTGAAACGAATAACAGTTTTTACTTAATTTAAAAAACAACAGACAACACACACTCCCACCACATGCACACATATGGTCTCAAATATATGTTTTTATTCAGTTTCCTTTGATTTATACAGCAAGTATTTTCAACCAAACATGCAGAGTGTTTTGAAAAGCAGAATAATTAAGACAGGAGAAAAAAAAATACCTTGAAATAAAACTATTAAAAGCTTGTGAAGAGATTACATTCTTTGTTGTGAGCGCTCACTCTGAATATTTCTGAGAAGTGTTAATTACAAATTTCTGAGCTAAGGTGATAAAAAGGTGTGCTTTTGTTGAAAAAATAGATCTTCAGTACAAACAGCTTTTCAAAAATGCATTTTGAGTATACGGACCTCCAGTTCACTCACTCTACGCTATGAAGCAGTCCCTAGATCCTTTACTATTTTCAAAGATTGATTTGCTTATTGCTGGGCAAGACAAAAATCACTAACATGAGACTCAACCTCACAAAGTGACAGAAGGAGGAAAACAAGGGACTGCAAATTCCAATGCAATATGTAATTGTAGGTGGGGTTGGCAGCAACACCTGTTAACGTCACCTAAACACTTCCCTTGAAAGACTTTGGTTTTCATTGCTTCTAATACTGCCAAACAAGCAGCTTGGGCTGACATTTTCCATAGTGGGTGGCTGCCCAAGTTGATATTTTTAGGAAAGCTTCAGCCAAAGGAGTATTCCAGAACACTGTCAGTATAGTCCTTAGAAATGTCTAAATATGTTATTTTGCTTGTTGGAAGCCTGTAAATCTTTTCTACAAAATATTAATATCTGAATGAAAGGCAGACACTGTATCATGAAAATATCCTCTTGATCTGTCAAAGTCTACCTCTATTTGGCAAGAAGGGGTTCTTTTGCTATTGTTGTTGAAGATCAGTCTGCATACGCTCAATGGATGCAACTTCAATGTAGTAACAGATTTTCCTACAAAATCACTCCTTACTGGATATGGCACAACCTGGAGATACAGGAGCCTGGCAGGGCTTTCCCTGCAATTCCCACTACCAGCTGCTTTGGGGTGGCATCAAGCCAACTTGTGACTGATGGGTGGGAATGACAGGTAGTCAAATGCAAAGAGAAAACCACAATAAGCACAGAGAAGAGAGACCAATGGAGATGGCAGCTCTACGGTTTGCTGAGGGTAGAACATGAAGCTGGGAAGCTGAAGAGCTCAGGGGTTAGGCTGGCTGGTTGGAAGGAAAGCAGCAATGCTGGGCAAGGAACTGGAGCTGGAGGAGAAGAAATTTGAGACTGGCCAGAGGTAGAAAGGAACCTGGGTGGAAAGTGGGAAGACAGATTGCAAGAAGTGAGAAGAAACTTGGAAGGGAAATGAGGAGTTGGAAATGAGTCCTGAAAGGGAAAATTAGGCAAGGAGATGTGTAAGGGAATGAGATGTAGAAACAGACAGGCTAAGTGAGGAGCCCTGGGCTGGGACAGGGACAGCAGTGAAGCATGTGGTTATAAGTGGTACCTGCTTACAGGAAACTTTCATCTAACACAGGTAGGCAGCACTATTTTCCTGTATATATTTGAATGTACAGTGACCTTGAAAACCTGGACAGAATCTGAAATGCTGTGATCTTAAGACAATTAACCCTCACCAAATTAATATTTATTTGGAAGCATGTTTCAAATTGAAATATAAAATGTAAAGAGCATGTACTCACTTCAAATGTCATTTCCAGGTGGTTTTTAGGAATCTGCATTATGCCTGTATCTCCTAGTTCTCCTGATACACAGATCCATGGGTTTGATGTCGTTATTGCATTGCTTAGTTTTTTGATTGGAATTATTACTGACCTATACGGGATCACTAAGAACAGGGAGGGGGAAAAAATAAGTTAGTCTTGACTTTTCCCACCCCCCTTAACAGTAAACGCAATTTCTGGAATAAACCATGCCTCTCCCTTGAAGGTAAGAGTTCTTGTCCCATGTCTCAGCAGCCCAACAAGGAGCACTCCCCCTCTGGTCTCCTTATCGGGGGTGAGACAAACCTGCAGACTTTGCAGGCGCTGCAGCGGCAGAGACTTTCCTCCCACGGGGAGGTCACAGCAGCCCCCCCAGCTCCCGCCCGCCAGAAACCAGAAGTGGCTCCGCAGCGCAGCTTTTGGGGAGCTTCCACCCGCATTCATCG